GAGGAGCTTCAAATGCTCTTTGAGATCACCTGACTTCACCCTCCCTGAGAAGATTAATCATTTCTAAAATCACCAACTCCTGGGAAATTAAAGTTGTGTGAAAAGCCCATTCGTGAATTGATGTTTTCAGAAAATCTGAAGTCCTTTTAACAGCAACTTTTGGGTTTAAAACATTAAAATAGGATAAATAAGCTTGTTTCAGAATAGACTTAGGAGGTGTAGGAAAAGTCCCAAATATTTATCTCACTTTCACACAGGAAAGGGGAGGTGAAATATCAGATAGTGATTACTCAGCCTGAGAGCCCTGTAAGCTCTGTGATATTTTAATTTTCATTACAGCAGTTGATTAAACAACCAAATGGGTGTAAACTACCAACATTCTATTAATAAGGGATAATTACTGCTGAACTTGCTGCATTTTAAAAGCCTGATTTGCTGCCAAGCTGAAAACTGCTAAAAAATTAACACCAGAATCATATATCCTAATACTCATCAAATATCTGTATGAATAAATTATAAATACTAGGCCTCATCCACTGCTTTCTCCTCCAGCCCTGAGCATGGCATTAACACCAGGAATCACTTCCCAGTGTTTGGATTTCCCAAAGCACCAGGGCAGCCACTGAGTGTCACTGTTACCCACTTAAAGGAGTTATAAAGCATCCTGAAAAGTGCTTTTTTGTTTCCCCTGGAAGAATGGCTCTGTGTTAAAGTGGATTTTTCTTCCCACTCCTTGCTGCAAAAGGAGGATTAACACACACAAACACCCCGACTTCCTGTACTTTGGACATGAAGGTCACATGTTAGGAAGGTTTTTAGGAGAATTTCAGGTAAAATAAGAAATTCAAGGAATCCAAGGAAAGATATTTTAGTGTTTTGCAGAGTTTGTGGTAGATTTGAGGGGAGGACAAGGAAAAGGAGGAAGAGGAGGAGATAAAGGAGAAAAAGGAGGAGGAAAAGGAGGGAAAGGAGGAAGAAAAGGAGGAGGAAAAGGAGGAGGAGGAAAGGGAGAAGGAAAGGGAGAAGAAGGAAAGACAGAAGGAAAAGGAGAAGGAGGAAAAGGAGAAGGAAAAAGAGAAGGAGGAAAGGAAGAAGGAAAAGAAGAAGGAGGAAAGGGAGGAGGAAAAAGAGAAGGAGGGAAGGGAGAAGGAAAAAGAGAAGGAGGAAAAGGAGAAGGAAAAGAAGAAGGAGGAAAAGGAGGAGGAAAAAGAGAAGGAGGAAAAGGAGTAGAAGGAAAAGGAGAAGGAGGAAAAGGAGAAGGAGGAAAAGAAGGAAAAAGAGGAGGAAAGGGAAAAGGAGGAAAAGGAGAAGGAAGAAAAGCAGAAGGAAAAAGAGAAGGAGGAAAGGGAGAAGGAGGAAAAGGAGAAGGAGGAAAAGGAGAAGGAGGAGAAGGACCCTGTAGATTAAGTCCATAAACATTACTAAAACCAAACAAAATCACAACAATTTTGCTCCAACTCTGAGTTGATTCAGAACATTTCACTGTCTTTACCTCAAAGAGCAAATCCTCCAAGGAAACAGGATCCATTTTGCTGTAGGTCTTCCACAAATCAACGCTGACATCCATCAACTGCAAGAGATTTTAACCACATTGAAAGATTTGAAACACATTTCTGTGAAAAACATCTCAAAGAAGGGCACAGGTTTGGGTTTAAGCTGCAGTGAGACAGCCTTGGAGGTGCCCTGAGAGCCCTCCTGAACTCTGAATTTAGAAATGTTTTCACACCACTGGTTACACAAGAACAGAGCAGATAAAAGTGTTGTGGATCCTGTGACACCTCATCTCAGGAGTCACTTGAAGCCAAGTTTTCTTTGCATCTTTCAAACAGATCATTTCATAAAGTTTTTCAAACTGAGTTAATTGCAAAGAACTGTCTTAGAAAGAATCAAATCTCAAGGTTATTCAACCTACACATGTTCTTGCCCTAAAGTAACGATAATTTAGGCTAAGCATGTTTAACTTAGCAACACCTTCTTCCAAGTAGTAGGATGATGAATATGAGAACAATATTCCAAAATACACCCTGAAGGGACACCTGTATCTGAATGATTTCTGCATTTACAGGTTTGCCCACTACCCACTTAATTCAAAATGCAGCACCAGCTGGGATTTTATCAACCCACTGCTTTACAGCTACTCCAGTTACTTGTATAATTAGGTTTGTTAATGATGATTTCCCAGGCATCACTTCCATTCACCCATCAGCAAATTACAGCGTCCTGAGCAACTCTGACTTGTGTAGAAAGGGAGAAAAAGTCCTTAAAATCCTAGAAAACAAATCCTAAATTATCATCCTCACATTATATTCAAATCTAACAGAACACACAACGGAGGGAAAGTCAGCTTGAGGAGCCAAAAATGCACCAAAACACCCCCCTCTTAATAATGGCAGAAGTATTAATTCCTAGATAATTTACAGTATTTCCTGCCTTAGACTGGTTTCCTTCCCCAGCAGTGACACAGAGCAGCTGCCTGACAGAGAACCTCACCCAAACACTGAGCTAAAGAGTCAGGAATGGTATTTCCCACTTGAAATCCCCTTTAAGGAGGAAGAAAACAAGAGCTGGCTGAACTGCCAGAGCTTCCAGGATTGCTCTTAAAACAGGAGGCCAAGAATTTTCCCTGCTCCTTTTTGAGTGCTTTAAGGACAGAATCGACTCCCTGGATGAAAGAGGAGAGGCTCTGGCTGGGCCACACCCACGACTGCACGTTTTTCCAAAGCCTCCAAGGATTTGTGAAATAAATTGGGGTAATTAAAGGGCAATTAAAGAGCCAAACAACTCCTGAATGGACAGACAAATTGTCAGTGAGTGATTTCACAGGTCAACAAGGGTGGTTGATGCTCCTCCACAAGGATGCTCCCCTGTTTGCACTCTGCATTTCATGGGTTTGGGCAGGTTCACACAAGGTGTTACAGCACCTAGGTGGAAATAGGAAAAAAAAACCTGAGGAGAGGTATCAGTGGGAAGAGAAAAGTGCTCAGAAAGACACAGACTCACAGAGCAGATTTCTGAGTAAGTGTGTACAGCTCTCCATGTGATGGGACTTTTAACAATGTACTGTTAATTCTTTGGGGGTTTTCCAGCTGTCACAAGTCAGACAAAGCCTATTCTGGCTGTAAAAAAGGAGGAGTGACAAGAAAAGTAGGACATCTCCATTGCTGTGGCACAGGCTCAAGAAAAGCAAATAAAAGGCATTTCAAATAAGCACAGAAATGCAAAGCTGTTCTCTGAAGACGATATGCTGGAGCAGAATTAATAAATGGGCAAATCAAATGACACCAGTTGCTCAGAGTGGAGCAGCAAATCATTATTAAATCCAGGAGTAAAATGATTTTGAGTGCTGCCCTTGTTCAGTGAGCTCTGCTGAGCCAGGAAGAGATAATGTCAGGGAGGGAAGCAGATGCATCTCTTGTGTCATAACCAATGGCCCAAGAAATACAGTCACTTCTTATTTCCTCAGCTCATCTCAAGGTGTTGGCCACTAACCAGCTCCTCCTGCTCTGAAGATCTAGAACCCATCTGGGAAGATCTAGGAGCCACCTAGGAAGATCTAGAACCCATCTAGGAAGACCTAAGACCCATCTGGGAAGATCTAGAAACCATCTAGGAAGATCTAGAACAAATTTGTGACTGCCTGGATCTGGTTTAGGGCAATCTAGATACCATTTAGGAATATCTATATTCCATTTAGGACTATCTAGAACCCATCCAGGAAGACCTATATCTCATCTAGGAAGATCTAGGACCCATTTGGGAAGACCTAGAACCCATCTAGTAAGATCTAGAACAAATTTGTGGCTGTCTGGATCTGGTTTAGGACAATCTACATCCCATTTAGGAGTATCTAGAACCTGTTTAGGAAGACCTATAACCCATCCAGGAAGACCTATAACCCATTTGGGAAGATCTATAACACATCTAGGAAGATTTATAACCCATGCAGGAATATCTAGAACCTGTGTAAGAAGATGTAAAACCCATCTAGGAAGATCTATAACCCATCCAAGAAGATCTAAAACCCATTTAAGATCTAGAAAAAAATTTGTGAATGTCTGGATCTGATTTAGTACAGTCTAGACCCCATTTAGGAAGCTCTAGAACCCATTTAGGAAGACCTATAACCCATCCAGGAAGATCTATAATCCATGCAGGAAGATCTATAACTCATGTAGGAAGACCTATAACCCATTTAGAAAGATCTATAACACATCCAGGAAGATCTATAACCTGTGTGAGAAGATCTAAACCCCATCCATGAAGATCTAGAACCTGTGTAAGAAGATCTAAAACCCATCTAGGAAGGTCTGTAACCCGCCCAGGAAGATCTAAAACCCATGTAAGAAGATCTAAAACCCACCTAGGAAGGTCTGTAACCCACCTACCAGGGCCAAAAAAACTGGGTTATTGGCAATGTTGACTCTAGAAGGAAAGGAAAACAGCTCTAAATCACAATAAGGGGTTAGAGAGGGTGACCAAATAATCCTGGTTTATCCAGGACAGGGTGTTGTGGAGCTCAGAACAGTCTCCCACCAAGCCTGTGGTGTTTTCTTCCAGGCACATTCAAAACTCAGCTTCACAACATCCCGAAAAACTTCATCCAATTTGGAACCTCCCTTGAGCTGTGAGTCAGGACCGGACGATCTCCAAAGGTACTTTCCAAGTGAGATAATCCCATGATTAACTCCTGCCTCAGAAAGGAGGTGAAAATGGCAGCACCCACCTCGTATTTCATGGTGAAGAAGCCGTCGCCCCCGATCCCCTCCAGAGCAAAGGCCTGGACGATCGGCCACTTCTCCACGATGAACATGTCAAATATCTGCAGGTGACCTGCAGAGGACAGGGAGCACAGGGACATCCCCTCACAAATCCTGGCAGTTTAACTTTCTGGGAGGTCTCCCAGTTGGCCTGAATTCGCAGAGGATCTCCATTAACCTGCCTTTGTACAACTGGAAATATTTAAGTGAAAAGTGGTTTTGATTCTTGAGTAAAACACTGTCACAGAATAACAGAATGGTTTGGGTTGGAAGGGATCTTAAAGATCATCCAGCCCTATCCCCTGCCATGGTAGGGACACCTTCCACTAGCCCCATCCAACCTGGCCTTGGACACTTCCAGGGATCCAGGGGCAGCCACAGCTTCTCTGCCCATCCCGGGCCAGGGCCTCATCAACTTCACAGCCAAGAATTTCTTCCATCATCCCCATTTAATTATAATTTTAAGTCAGGGGAGAGAAAAAATTATTCATCCTGCACTCCTTGGAGCAGCTGTAAACCACACGAAGTGTGACTGCCACCCTTAAGCTCCACACCTTCTTCAGATCCTGCCTAACACAGAACCTCTGTCCTCCCCCCCTGCCCTGAACCATTAACGACCTTCCAGGCAGTCAGAGCTTATCACCCCTTCCTCAAAGGAAGCAATTGGGAATTGGGAATAAAAAAGGAATGTGAGATTACAGTGCTGAGGCTGCAAGGCTGGCTCCAGAGCCCAACAGGAAGCCGTGCTGGGCAGCTCTTTCAGCGCTAAAAAGGGAAACTTGCACAACGAAACGTTTATTCTTCCCTTAAATAAAGGAGGATTTCTCTGGAGCTTCCATGGGAACAGAGAACTTCTGTAGCAGCACAACACACTTCTCTGAATGCAAATCATTCCTCTGCCTCACACTGTGAGTGTTCCCTCCTCGGATCCAGTCCGGGGGCTTCCACTCCTCAGAAATGGAATTCGGCAGAAAAAAAAATCCACCTCTGAAGGAAAAAGAGGCTTAAAGGAACCTACTGACACACTTATAATGCTTATTTCTTCCCAAAGGTGAGGAAATCTCCATTCCCTGAACTTGGATGTTCAGCTCTGAGGATAAACCAACCCAACCTACCCTGGCAGCTGTAGGGAATCCCGATCCGGCTGCAGTCCCGGACCATGTCCACAAAGCTGGAGATCTTGAATTCCTCTGCGGCTTCTTCGTCTTCATACTGAAAGAAGCCATTTAAAAATCAAGCTGGATTAGGCAAGCCCTGATTTGTTTGGTAGGCAAGTGAATATGTAGCATGTAAACCACTAAAATATCACCTACAACTCCCAGGAGCTAAAGCATCTCTTTTACTCCCTGCGTTAGAAATTCCAGCACGGCAGTGATGGCACTGAAGCCAATGGAAATCATCCTTTTGGAAACAGTTCTTTTGAAAAACAAAAAAAAAACCTGAGAGAAAGTTTTTTAATACTGGTAGATGAAGGTATAATTATATACTTTGTTTTCAGCTCTCAGCGAAGATTTTCAGTATCATCCACTACATTTAAAAAATTAAAGGTATTTTTAGGATGTTGACCCACGTGCCACAAAAAAAATGTGCCACAAAAAACATGGCCCTGAGGAAAAATGATCAGGACACAGAATAAGGAATAGCTGTGGGAAGGAGAGGTGGATTGTAGGAAAAGGAGAGGGAAAGGAGACACCACCATGCAGCACCATGTTGCTGCTTCATGATGAAGTCACTGAAGACTTCAACAGACTGAAGAACAAACGTTGTGGCTCAGAAAAGCACAAAAACTACACTGAAGAGACAAATCACACTAAAATCATGCTTATAACAGGAAAAAAATAAACCTGGAAACACACTGGTTTTTATCTGAAAAGGTAACAGTTCAGCAGCAAATCTGGAACCAACTCCTTCAAGAGTCACTTGTTTTCTGGAGCAAGATCAGAAGGCGGTGGTGGTTTGCCTATTTTATTTAATTTATATTTTTATATACAGTGTTCTGAACTTCTTATCAAGGCAAATGACATGATTATGAACTTGTTGTGTACAGCTCCTGTGAGCTCCAGGGTACACCCAACTCATTTATTTTAAGAACAAGTTCTTTTAAGCCCAGCCTGAATTTAAGATGCAGCCCCAGTTCCTCCATGTTCCTTCTTCAATCCCAGGAAATCAGATCAAAGTCCCAGCTCAAAGCCAAGCCCCAAACAACTGCCAGTTTCTCAAGGCTCAAAAATGCCAATGGAATAAAAACTTGGGAGTTTGGCAGGGTGCTAAAGGCCTGCTCCCAGTCTGCTCTTGCAGGAATAAATTCAGCCAGTTCCATGAAAGGTAAGGCCAAGACACCCCAAAATTTACTGCATCAAAATTCACCACTTTATCCTATTTGGCCATTTTGAAAATGGGCATTTTTTAAATATATGAGGATTTTTTTTTCTCCCTTTAAGGATATTCCCCTAAATTCCTGTAGTCTAGTTAAAAGCAAGTAGGAAGAAAGGAAGGAGAGGCTGCAGGTTTTGCCAGAGCCAGGTAAAGCACTGCTTTATTTATTCCTAAAACCTTTGTGCTTTTTTGGTTCCATGTTTTTAAAAGCAAGTAAAAGTTATTCCTACCATTGAAAAAAACAAAAAAAGGGCTTAAAAGCCACAATCCTCCTATAAACAGGATGTACTTAAAGCCTGACACAGCAAGGTTTTGTTTCCCTCTCAGCAGTAATCAGGGAAACAGGCACTCCACATACATTGGGAACATGCTCAGCAGTGAAGCAAAACTGCATTTTCAGCTTCAAAAAAAACCCCAAAAAATCCAACCTTTGCCTTCATCCCCACAAATAACAAGGCCCATGGATCACCTTTGTGGTTACATCATTCTTTCCAGGCAGCACTGTGTGATTAAGGTTAGGACTTACCAAGATAAATCATATCAGAGCCCGGCAGCAGATGGAGCTTAAAATGCAATAGCTGAGATTGCAGCTGCACTGGCAACAGGCTGGTGGGAGCTGCTCCACTCCTGAGTCCAAAATACACGTGTTTTACACCAGCAGATTTGCCCTTCCTGCAGGGGTTTTGGCAGCAGGAAAGCCTTCCAAGGCCAGGCTTTAGGTTTTGCCACAGCAGGTTTGAACCTGTAGCTCAGTTGTTTGTGTCTTTATCAAGAATTATCCCTGTCTGAAGCACTGATGGGACTGTGTTGGGAACAGGCATCCAGTTTTGGGATCCAGGGACCAGGAAAACAGGGGTAAACTGGAGTAAGGGCAGTGGAAGGACACCATGATGATGGAGCCTTTGTTCCAAAAGCTGGGACCTCAGAGCTTCTGTCCCACAGCCACCAAAATATCCTTGAGATGGTGAAGCCAAGCTCTCCACAGTGGTCATGACAAAGGGATGACTCAAAACAAGAGAGGTTCAGATTTGGCAAAAGGAAACCCTTTTTCACTGTGAGGGCAGTCAGGAAATGGAGCAGACAGCCAAGAGAAGCTCTGCAGGCATCATCCTTGGATGTTTTCAACATCCAGCTGCAAGAAAACCTTGAGTAACCTGATCTGATCTCATCACCCACCCTGCCTTAGGCAAGAGGTTGGACAAGATGGTGTCTTATAACCAGAATTATTTCCTAATTCTGTGATTAAACCATCAACCAGCCACAAGAAAACACAATTAATTTGTCAGAAGCCCCATCACCTTCAAGCTGGAAGCTCAAGGGAGCAAAAGGTTTCTCTCCTTGATCTTCCTGTTCATTCTTACACCAGCTTCACCCTCTGACACTGCAGCTCCAAACCCACTCCCTGGGGATTTCAGTGTCATTCTAACTCAGAAAAGGAGTTACACAATTAAGGAAGAAGCATTTCCACTCTCAACTGGAATGTAAAGGTCCTTATTCTACACCTAGACAGGCAGTATTTTTGTTTTTAACTCCTCTAACAGTACTTCAATAAACTCAGTTTTTCTAGAAAACACCTTCATTTTTAAATGCAAGAAGAAACTTGTGGTGCAAGAATCACCATGTGGTGCAGTTACTAGTTCTTGAAAGAAAGATTTGAGAGTTGAAATGAAAATACACAATAAAATTTCTACATTTTTTAATTGCTTTCTAAGCTGATCTTTTCTAATATTAAACTACTGGCAACCAATGAATTCAAACACTGCCCTGGCAGCAAAAAGGGCTATTGCTGGAAATCTCAGTGTTGACTGTGGTGCTTGATTCAGATTTTGCATTTCTCACAACCCACATGTTTTCCCTCACTAAAAGATCACTGACTCATGTCAAAACAATAGTAATTAGTGGGAGAGGGGAGCCATTTGTCTTCACAAAAAGTATTGACATCATATTCTTCTTGCAAATGATTAATCCCCACTCAGGCACCCAGATCACTCCCCTGCTGAGGAGGAAAAGGAAGAAAGACTTCTGGGAGGGATGTCAAAGAAAGTTCCACTTTAAATATCAGTTCATTAACAAGTTCATTAGCGAGCCTTGTCTGCACTCATTTGTCACTCACCTCATTTTCAGTGAGACAGTGAAAATGCAGGTTCCTCCAGTGAGCCACATAGGGCAGGAGCTGGTTATAATTCACAGGGTTGCAGTACAGATGAACACTGTCAGGTTTGATTAATATGATTATATCTGCAAGAAGCAGAAGAAAGATTATTGCAGCACCAGGAGGCCCCACACAGAAAGAGAAAACACTTTTGTATCATGAACCTCATTAAAAGAAAACTGTTGAACTGTGTGAGTGCACAGGAACTCCTGATTTGTTTGCACCAAGGAAAGGAAACAGTTTGGCTCTGACACCACAGCACTTGTTACAGTTCCAGACAACTGTGGGTTATTCCAAGCTCTTGCACAGCACTTGCATCAGCCTGTCCTTGGAGCAGCCAGGAGTGTTGGGATGAGCCTTCCCAGAGCAATTCCAGAGCTCTGAACTCCAGCTGCTCCTGCCTGATGTCACATCAGCAAGTTGCTCCAGCTCCAAGAGGCCAGCACAGCCCAGGGGGTGGAGATCCAAAGTTTCATGCAAATAAGGGAATAATAATCCACCAGCAGGGTGGACTGGCCACCTTCCAAATGACACAAAGGTGAGCTGGGGAAGTGAAAAAGAGCTCAGGTATTTTAGAGCTGCAGAGGTGTGATCACAGTAATTAATGATGTGTGCACACACCAGGACTGAACTGAGGGATTCTGTTACAGTTCACAACATTTGAGGGACTTGTGGAGTGTAAAACACACGAAATATATCTTCTAATGTTCAAAAATGAGTTACTCACTGGTGTCTTTAAGAACCATTTTCAGGTGTGCAAAGACAACTTCAGATTTAAATAATTTGTTTGTTCTCTATGCCACATTTTCTGCTCCATTTCCCTCCAGGAAGGCTGAAGAGCAGATAAAAACATTGAGCAGGTTCCTCACCATCAAGCACCTCCTCAGGAAAGCCTGTCCTCTCCAAGTGACTCAACTAATGGACTCTGGTTAAGTTTATAACATTTGAGGGACTTGTGGAGCATAAAAGACATGGAATATGTCTTTTAATGTTTAAAAATAAGTTCCTCATTGGTGTCTCTAAGAACCACCTTCAGGTGTGCAAAGACAACTTCAGATTTAATTAATTTTTTTGTTCTCTATGCCACTTCTTCTGCTCCATTTCCCTCCAGGAAGGTTAAAGAGCAGGTAAAAATGTTGAGCAGATTCCTCACCATCAAGCACCTCCTCAGGAAAGCCTGTCCTCTCCAAGTGACTCAACTAATGGCCTCTGGTTAAGTTTATAACATTTGAAGAACTTGTGGAGCATAAAAGACATGGAATATGTCTTTTAAATTTAAAAATGAGTT